TCTACTTTTCTTGACCTGGTTGCAATTAACAACCTAAAGACTGATTAAAGACTGCAATTAAAGACTGATTTTCATCCAAAACACAAAACCACTCAGCTCAAGTGTTTTTTCAGCCATTATTTCGGGTCAGCCATCTAGCGCGTCCCATTCCATTGTCGAAGAATTTGGAATTTTCTGGGTTTATCATAATCCTGAATTCTTAACATCATTATTCTTCCGAAAAATGTACCGATTCTGATGAGAGGAAATTCGACTTCGATAAAACACGTGAATGGTCTGGTCAAAAAAAAAATGTTTCACGTATTTCTAAGAGGAGTGAAAAACAACGGATCTAGCTTCAGAACTTAACTTAGGGAGCTAGGATAGTTTGGACTGAGCAAATATTGTGGTAACAGACACAACAAATATGAATTCATCTAAAGGATCGACATCTGTACAGGCAAAGAAGCTAATTTGCTATTACCAAAAAATGCCTACTGCTTTCAGATCTAATATTTCTAACGTACAAATAGCGAGAGAATTGAATTAAACTAATATTTAAGATAAGAACAGAGAGCAAAAAGCTATAATTTCTTTAAGTACCTGGATGTCAATTGTCCTTTACTCTGTTAGAAACTGATCGCATATATCCGCATAAGCAGAAGACAATTAATCCACACAAAGGTAAAGGTTTTTACAGCTGTTGTTGATTGTTGTTTTAAATAAATGAATAGTTAGAAGACAAGAATTCTCATCGCGTATTTCGTTCAATTCGTTCAAGCCATGCGTCTACCTTAAAGAATAAATTAAAATCGTTCGTTTCTACTCTCAATTTTATAGCTCCTTTTCTTTTTTCTTTTTAATTTTTAGCAGTTCTCATTGCAAAACGGGACAATAACCGGAGGAACTGACTAAATTATAACATGACTAACATGACTATTGATCGGCAACCAATGTGTTCATCATTTGCATAACCGCATTTGACTTTCAAATCTACATTATATCAAATTTTCTTTACCATAAACATTTTTTTCTGTTCTCATACAATATGACTTATTTTGGTTATTTTTTTATTTTCTTTTTTTATTTTGAGCCTGTATTTCAAAAACTACTGATCTCATTCCATGCTTTCAAGGATTTTCCTTTGTTCTGTTATCTGCTGCTCAAAAACGAAAACTTGACTTCCGTGGTGGAATGAGTCGGCATTGAAAATGACATGTCATTTGAAAGATAAATATGTTATTTGCTAGCAGGGACGGCCCTATAGAAAGAAGAAATCCGATAAAGTAAAACTTACTGATTCTGATTTACTTTCGAAACACATTAAAATTGCTCTATATCGATATTTCCCACTACTTGGGGAAGCGTACGGTGAAAAACTCCCATTTCAGACTGGTAAATGCTGTCGTTTTCCCGCGCTATAGGGAATATGTCTTGTTTTACACTTGGTATGCATTGGCGCCTTTGCCCTGTCGTTCATTCAAAAAGCGTACTTGCGCTTTTTCTTCGACGCACTTTTTTTCCACCGCGCTTTTTTAATATTGATAAGTATCAGGTCGTAAAAAATTTGCTTGGAAGCCCTTTTAAATCACCTTTCACATAACGCAAATAAAATTATTCGGTGTAGCATCTTGGCATTGTCTCTTTTTTTTATATGCTTATGTCCATTCGCGAAAAATTGTTCGGTTTGTGGAAGATATTACCGTAATTACAGCCTTAAATTATGGGTTTCCTAGTGACCTATTTTTTTTTTTCTCAAACAGTAACTGATGCTTTTAAAGTTACTCTGGTTTCCGCGCCGATTGCCCTAAGAGTGATCAACGAACTTCCGGCGTTGCGCATGAAAAGTCGCGGGAAATGAAATCGTGCTAAGCCATTTGCAGCTGAATAAGAGGATTCACTGTAACACCGTTTATTATTGAACAATTTACAGTTTTATAATTTATTTTTATTTTTCTTGCTCGACTTTGTTTCAGACTTGCCAGATTCTTTAGATGCCTTTCTATANGCAGCTTCTTGGTCTCTGGTTTAATACAAAACACAGCACACAGAGATGGTATTGTGGAAACAGTGTGGAAAAAGTGGACAATGGCCTTCTGGAGATTAAAACTCCCAGCGTAATCACCAGAGTTCCCAGGAGTATACAGCATCATCTGAAGTTTTGGAAAGGTATTGATTAATTTGTTCGGTGCTATTTATTTTTTTATGTAAAGTTCAATTTATCTCATAAACAGACTACAATCTAAAAAAGTCTGAGTCTGTCCATTCTGGCACCAAAATAGAAAATTATATTTGATTTTACTATTTAACCCATAAATTCTTGATCATTAAAAAAACTTTTTCTTTGATTGCAGCAACTGAGTAGCGCAACTGGCTGTTGTGCTACTCTCTTCCTTGCCTAAAGGGTATTCTTCATGAAGAGAATCACCAACATTATGCCTTGCTGGTTGGTGGCATTATCTTACTCTCTGGACGGTCTATCTCACCTGAACAGCTGGAAACCTATCGATGCACCTTGTTGAGATGTATGATGCGTATTATAGTAAGTAACATGTAGGTGTTTGAGAGTGCTGTTTAAGACTTAGAATTAAAGAAAATTCTTTTATAAAATAAATAATAAATTATGCAGGTATTTAAAAATCTTACTTTCTTATTCATCCAGTAGGATCAAGATATGTGTTGATGAACCAGCACATGCTTCTTCATCTAAAGAAGTCTGTGATTGATCATGGTCCCCTCTGGTGTAGTTCACTTTTTGTATTTGAAGACTGGAATGGTGACATTGCCAATTATTTCCATGGAACCCAGAATGTTGCACACCAAGTGATTTTCGAGCTTAAAGACTTGTGAGATTTCTCCTGGTTAGTGAAGCAACTTAAGCATTTGCAACTAGAGCCCAAACCACTGCAAAATTTGACCAGCTCCTGTGTATCAAATGTAATTTTTAGCTGTTTGTTACTGTTTTACTTTTTTTCTCCCATGTTTTGCCATATTACTCCCATACTTTTTCTTTGGTAAGGGAATACTTTTCTATGGCTACTCACTTGAAATCTTCTGTTTGCTTTATATTGAAGCTGGGACAAGCTTCACTTAATGATGAACCATGAGGCTTGTAATACTTCTCTTCCCTTCTTTTATCTGTTAAACTGATAATTAACTTATTATTATCCACTGGTATGCAGACTGGTATGGTAGATGATAATGATGGTATAGTCTCAGATGACCACCGCCATAATACAGACACAAGCAGTTTATCTTTTGATTCAGGTCAGTTTACCTCTGACTTATAACTATGTAAGCCAAGACATTTCAGAGATTTGATTGGTTGACAGTTATTCACCATTACAAGTGTAATAGTGGTATAATGGCAAAAATGGGGTATAACAAGGTTACGAATGACAACACGGTAAGGAAAGATTGTTATGAATGCTGATGCCTGCATGTTTGTCTTTCCAACTGCAACAAAATAAAGGTCAGCTCCTGTATGTGCATTACCAAAATTTTGCATGACTTATGGGTGGTATTTGTCAATAATACTGGCCCATTATTAATATTAATTT